TTAAATACTTGAACAAATTGTTTCTTTCGTTTGAAGACTGCATTTGCCCGGTGCATAAATGGCCTGTTGTTGTGTTGTGTTTTATTTTATTTTATTTTATTTTTTTCCCCCCCTCCTCCCTCAAGCCTAACGAGGAGTTCATGTACCGTATATCTAATCATTTCAATTATGTCAGTTGCTGCAAAACTTGTGATAGTGCATGACGACCATATAGTTAAAGATCCAGAGAGTATTTGCAAAGATTAGTTGCACTATGAGTTGACACACATGGTATGTGTCAAGTTTAAGAACTTCTGTCATCTCACTGATCTGTTCTCTTGATCCTCTACATTATATTCTGAAAACTACAGAGTTTTTCTTTTCAACTTTAACCTCCCCCCCCCCCTTTTCACAAAAATCATGTGTTTCCTTGCTTTGCTTCCACGGCCTTCTGCAGCTCTGCTGTTCAGCTCTTCTCAGAGGTCAGCTCCTGGCCGAGCCCCGACACCTGTGCCTTCAGCTTACTTTCTCCTGGTGCTTTTGTTCATTCCGAGGTGCCTCCTGACCTCAGTTACTCCTTCTGTCTCTGGCACGCCCTTTTTGCTGCCCGATCATCTGTGTTGGTCCGTCACTGTCCTGCACAGTTTTAATGCAGAGTTGTTAAGGTCAGCGTTCTTTTGCTCGGCCTCACTTTTCATCTGGGCTTAATGGGCGTCTCGTCACAGCTCTGTCAGCTGAAGCTGTCTGGAAATCTCCCCCGTGTAGTGAAACGGGCCTTGGATTTAACGCTCTCCGTCTCCGCTGCATGAGATCGTTTTCCTGCAGCACTGTTGACATTTTCAGGTTGTTGTTGTGGGTCCAGCTGCTGTAGCATTTGGTCAGGGTCACATCAAAGATGGTAGAGGAGAAAGCAAAGATGGTAGAGGGGAGAGCAGGAGTCCAGGTCAGGCTCGGCATTCCGGGCCGACAAAGCAGCCTGTAATCAAGCATACAGAGAAAAAACAAAAACAAAACAAAAACAGACGAACAGGAAAATGATGTTATTTTGGCTGTGTTATTCAGAGAGGGGAGAAACAACGGGACCAGGCCCTGTGTCAGCCTTCTCTCCCCCTTTTTTGTTTTTTCTCACCATATAATCCACTCATGACCCGCCAAGCTGACAGGACAACACAGGTACATGTTAAAATT